GGCAGCCGAGATGCTTGTTATTTTCCTTTCTGTCTTTCCCCTTTGTGAGATCTGTTCATAGCGCTCAACTGTTGCATCCAGAAAACTGGCTTTTTGAATTACCTTTCGCAGAAGCCACAGCCAGCATGCCTGAGGCTTCTGGGAGTTGTAGTCCCAAAATGTAAATATTCCTATACTCTGAACTTGTGTGTATAAACATTCCTGGTTTACATCTCCCTTTAGATCAGGGACATTGTTAGTAGGACTTAACCTGATTTCTTTTGTGTTAGACTGGTAAAGAGGTTTCCAATTTTGGGACCCCAGCTGTTCTTGGACTACAACTCCCAGAAGCCTTTGCCGTTGGCTGTGCTGGCCGGGATTTCTGGGAATTGTAGTCCAAGAACATCTGGGGACCTAAGGTAGATGGCTCATTGTTTGGGTGGACCAGCAGGCTCTACTGGAATGGCCTGTGTAGGCTAGTATGGGTGGTGGTAAGGCCACCAGTAAGTCAAAATTGTCTAGGTAAGGAGGCGGGTAAGGGACCTGATTTATCACCTTTTAAATGCCAGGTTACTTCACAGCTCTTTGATCTGTCTTACTTCTGAACCTTCCTTTGGAATTGGAATTGGATTTTTTTTATGATGGGCTTTTACAGTGGCTGTCAAGCTATTAGTTTTATTTAATTGTATCCCCTTTTTTAATAACTCCCCCCCCTTTCTATGGCACCCCGTCCTGGAATTGTGTGGGATGAAAAGTGGTCTAGAAATATCTTGAATCCCAAGCCTTCTGTCTTCCAGATGTGAGAAACAGCAGCAACAACAGTAACAGAAGTACAATTAGCAATGCTACTCATAATAGTACGGGAAATATCTTGAATCCCAAGCCTTCTGTCTCCCAGATGTGAGAAACAGCGGCGGCAGCAGCAACAGTAACAGAAGTAGAATTAGCAATGCTACTCATAACAGTATGAACAAGAGCAACAGTAACTCTGTGTTTTAGCAAACGTTGTGGTGGAATTAATTTTAGAAGCTTTCCTGGACATAATCTAAGAGGAATTAAATGGAAAGCAGACTAAAATGTGAAGCAAAAATGCAGTAAAGCTTTGGACCAGAAGCTTGCCATCCTGGGTAACAACCCACCTCCCAGCGTTGTTGTTTGGAAGGAGAATTCCATTTGTTACTCTTTGGGAAAAGAAAGGGTACAAAAAGATGCCCTTGTTGCATTTTTTAAAAAATAATAGGTTAATACCAGGGTTCTGTTTAAAAGAACTGCCAGGAGTAACTGTACACAAAGGCATCAGGAAATACATTTTTGGGGTGTCATAAACCAGTGGCCCCTCATCCATAAATCTAGGACTATGGACCCCATCATCCCCAGGCAGGAGGCTGGCTGGGGGTGATGGGGTATGTGGTACTACCATACTGGGATGAAACCAAGTGGCTCTTTATACGAGGAGAAAATTCCTTTCCCAGAACTGGGAGTTGACTTGGCTTCTCTCACCCTTCTGCTCCCCCCACAACTTTTTATATTTATTTTGGATCTCTTTTGCTTTCTGCCTTTGAGAAGCAGCCGGATTAGACTGTGGATTTGGCTTTTTCCAAGGAACTGGGGAGAGGAGCAGAAAAGCCAGGGTGAGAAATTATCTTGAAATACTGTGGCAGGAACCCCTGTAGGGGAAGGCGATCAGGCCCTAGATAAGAGCTTGTTCCCTCCGTCTGGCGAAAGAAATCCTGTTTGATCATTAAGAGGAACAAGATCCAAGGCTCCCCCTGAAGGGAAGATTAACTCTGAAAGGTCAGAGTTTTGTGTGTGTGTGTGTGTGTGAAGCTGTTCCTCTGTGAACACGGAGGAGAGGGCTTTATACAAATTATTTATTCTGGTTTCAGAAGCCCAGGCTGAGATTAGGCTACTAATACAACCCTCAGCTGTGATCCTAGTCACACATAATAATAATAATAATAAAAAACTGTTTAGGGTACAATGAACAGCCGGAGGAAGGATCCATACAAGATCCTTACAAGATACAATCCTTACCTGTACAAGAAGGGTGTATACATTTTGTGGGTGTTGGCCCCTCTAACCACTAGGCGGTACCATCTAGCTTGGCTTTAATTTCTCTCTCTTTAAAAAAAAAGAGATTGCTAGAGTAGTGATCTATGGGGAAATAAGGCAGGGCTTCTGAATTTTTAAGAGCCACACAGAACAGAACATTTCAGTGCTTGAAGCTTGCATGACAAACACACACACACACACACACACACACACACCTACCTGATCAGTGTTCCTCTTCCACATACCCATAAAAAATGAAGACCATGTCCTATTTTTCACGTGGCCACACTACTGAATACAATAACAACCACACACCATCAAGTCAATTATGACTTAGGCAAATCCCTCCCAGCAGTGATTTACCCTTCCCTTCCTATGGGGGGCGCCCTGGGACCATTCAGCTTGCCCAAGGCCACCCAGGCTGGCTCTACTCCCAGGACATCCAGTGGGGAATCGAACCCCCCAGCTTCTGGCTCTGCAGATAGATCTCTAAACTCCTTCCTATGGGGGGCGCCCTGGGACCATTCAGCTTGCCCAATGCCACCCAGGCTGGCTTTACTCCCAGGACATCCAGTGGGGAACTGAACTCCCAGCTTCTGGCTCTGCAGATACAGTAGATCTCTAAACAACTGAATTACCCAGGCAGACTACACCCTTCAAAAAAGCATGTGCAGCTTTGCTAAAAGAAAGTTAATGCCCCTGCTCCCCCGTACTTCTGTTCTCCCTCTAACCCTGCTTCTTTCCCTCAAAATGTAGCCGTAGGTCTGCAGTACCTAGGGATTCAGTTATTCTGCCTCTTATCATTTATTTGCGACTTACATATCCCACCAAGGCTCTCAAGGCAGTCAATGTGGCTCTCACCTTTCCTCCCAACCCTGTGAGGTAGGACAGGTGGGTAGCCAATGATGGCTTGAACAGCCCAAGGTCAACCAAGCAGACCATCGCTCGTTGGGTGTTAGAAGCTGGACCTTCTAACCCCCTTTGAACTCGCGATCCTCTATATCACACTAGACTTCAAACTTTCTCATGGCTGGGCCCCGAAGGCTGGCCTCCTGGCCCCAAGCAGTGCCCTCATTTTCATGCCTCCTCTGATGGGAAGTTCTGACAAACCCTAAAAGCTTGCGCACCATTTTGTTAAAATTGGGTGGCGCCCTGTAAAGATGTTTTGCAACTGTATGCTGTCGCTCAATGCTGTCAAGCCACTTCTGAGTAAGGGCAGTTTTGACATATGAGAGATATCCTGGGAGTAGCTGCTCTTTACCACCCCCTAGAGGGTTTCCGTGGCCTAACAGGGATTTGAAGCCAGCTCTCCTAAATCCTAGTCTGACGCCTTATCCAATATACCACACTGGCTCTCTAATGGTAGATCACAAAAAAAGTAAGACTAAGGAGGACTCTTTCTTCAAGAAACCAATGAATGGGATTAGGTTATGTTCCCATGCCCATGAATCGGACTGGGCTATTATCTGGGAATGAGCTCTGTAGGATTTTCTCTTGAGTGAACACACAGACAATTTCTCCGAAACACTGTAATCTCCTTGCTTTGGAAACCGTCCCACTGGGCACCTGAGAATTTACTTTGTGGTCAGCTGGCTGTTAAGATACCCACTCGGCTTCATCAACCTTGGCTAGGTTGTATAGAACAAATTCTAATTCTAAAAGGATCAGCTCCTCCACCACGCTCGAGCATCACTGGAGACGGAAGACAGCAGACATTCAGCCGAGTCCCGTTGCAAACTTTCTCAGTGGTTTTGCCCCTCTGCTTTTTTAGCTGTAACCTGACCTGTGGGAACGCACCAGGAAAAGCTTTATTTTTTTTCTCCTATAGATAGATAGATAGATAGATAGATAGATAGATAGATAGATAGATAGATAGATAGATAGATAGATAGATAGATAGATAGATAGATAGATAGATAGATAGATAGATGGATCTTGTTACCATTGTGGCTAAGGGCACAGGAGCAGAGGCAATTAAGAGTTGGTAACCTCTTGTGGCCTCATGTAGTCAGAACCACCCACACCCCCAATAACATTCCAGTGCAGATGCCTGAGTGGTTTAAGGTAAGGAGATGTCTTGAGTCTGTTGGCTGGATAGCTCAGTGAGTCGGGTAGAGGAGCCCGAGGTTGGGAGTTCGACAGCCTGTGTAGCCTTGGACAAGCTGCAGAGTCCAGGAAGAAGGGAAATGGGAATTATAAAAACATTGACTGGTATTATATACAGATACAAAAACCTAAGTATCCGTTAAATATTGGCACTGTATGTATGTATGTATGTATGTATGTATATATGTATGTATGTATGTATGTATGTATATATGTATGTATGTATGTATGTATGTATATATGTATGTATGTATGTATGTATGTATATATGTATGTATGTATGTATGTATGTATATATGTATGTATGTATGTATGTATGTATATATGTATGTATGTATGTATGTATGTATATATGTATGTATGTATGTATGTATGTATATATGTATGTATGTATGTATGTATGTATATATGTATGTATGTATGTATGTATGTATGCATGCATGCATCATGATGATGATGCCAAAACAGGCATTTTAAGTCTCTTGGCAAAAATATATGGTGGTTGGTAGTGTTTTTTTTTTTTTTAATTAGTGGGAGTAGCAGCCAGGGGTTCCACTTCCACCTGAAGGGACACAAAAAGATGCAGGGCATCCACCTCCCAGTCCCCCCCCCGGGGGCTTGTCTTTGAAGGACCAGGGAGACGGAGGGGGGTTGAAGAGCGTCAGAAAGAGAAGGCAGCCAGCAGGGACCCTCTCACTCTGCCCTAGATCAACCGGCATTCACCTTGCCTGCCTTCCTTCCCTCTGTGATAGATCCGGCTTCAGAGGAGCCCCCAGCCAGGGGGGGGGCAGCTCTCAGCCGGGCGGGGCGAGGGCTGAGTCATCAGCCCCACACAAGCAGCAGCTGGGAAGGGCTGGAGCAGCTGAACTCCCTTAAGCGATCAAGCCTGAGCAGCGAACGGAGGGGAGCAGAAAGCAGGCAGGAAGCTTTATGGAAGCCCCAGGAAAAGACTCATCATCACCCTAAGAAGAAAGTGGGCCTTTGCCAACTTCAGGTGGATTTTCTGGAGAGGTCATCCTCCATGGGACATCCTACACAGGTACGGATCCTATTGAGTGCAAGCAGGACTGACTCCCAGAAAATGGCTGGTAGGATGGAGGCCCGAGGTCACCTACAAGCTACAGAGAATCTGAAGATGCATGGGTTTATTTTCTCCAAAATCTTTCCAGGTAAATTATATATATATTAAAAGCACAGTCTTGGATGTAAAATGGGCAGAGGACTTCCCTTTAGGGAGATACACGGAGCAGCAGGTCGGTTGGGTAGATTTGAGGAAACCAAAGGAGCATCCAGAATGTTGATTGGAGTGTCTCTTAGCATAGGGTTGTTGCTCTTTGAACGTGGTTTTCTGGGGTGGGGTAGGGAGATGGGGGAATGGTTTCCATCAGTCAAAAGTCAATATAGCACCAGAGGCAGGCAGGAGGTGTAAATGAAACCCATGAGGAGCAAGGCCTGGCCTGAGGCTCAGAAACAAGGTAGATGTAACAAGAACACAAGAAGAGGCTCAGGCAGAGAAAGACACAGCCTTTACCGAGTCAATGGGTCTCTCCTTTGGTCTTCCTCTTCTCCTGTTGCTTCCAGCTGTTGCCCACCATGACTGTCCTTTGCAGTCAAAAGTTTGCTCCGTGAGCTGTGGTCACCTATGGAACATAGCATCTTGTTATGATGGTCTGGACTGCTGGGCTCTGAAAGAAAAATGTCAAATGCATGCCACCAATCAAGTTCTAATAATTTCAATTTCCTTGCTGTTGTTCCGTGCCTACCAGAGGGTGGATGCCATTGTGGCTATCTTAAGCTGAAGGTTTAGCAGTTGTCAACATTGACGTTGTATTGGATGCGTACCTCTCCTGCACTTGTTTTTGTATCTTGTTTGCCTTAAATGATCAGCTATGGCCACCCATTCATTTCCTTTCTCATCCTGTTTCCCCAAGGATTATACTGTTGTATCTTGTTTGCCTTAAATGATCAGCTTTTATGGCCACCCATACATTTCCTTTCTCATCCTGTTTCCCAAGGATTCTAGCCTTTTGCATTTCCTGCTGTTGACGATTTCTCGGTCTTTACTTGCTCACCTTAGTGCTTCATTGTGGGCCACCCTCTTAATCCATGGTAGTCTTCGCCTTATATGACAAAGCCATGTTTCAGATGCTTTTAATTTTTTTTTCCAAAGTGGCCTGTGTGGAAGTCTATGGTTCTGTGCCAGAAGAACTGGGCAGTTCCAGGGCATGTTTGCAGGGCTAGTGGATCTTGACTGTTCATTCAGGATGAAGGTATCCAAAAATACATTGCATTGTTGCTCCAAACAGTACATAGTCTGTTCTCCACCAGCTATGGTGAGGATTACAGCAAAGCTCAGAGGGAGAGCTAGAGTGAGATATGGGAATAACAGACTGGGTTGTCATCTTGGCTAATTCCAACATCTTTGGGTTCCAATGCTATGAACACTGGTCCTTGGGACACCTTGGAAACATTGGTGTGTTTTTTGGGGGGGCATTACAGCATTCTGGAAGGTGAACTCTGAAAACTCAACTTTTGCCAGGCTGTGTTGTGGTTCTTTTCTGAAGCGCACATGGGCGATCAGGTCTGGAGAGGTGAGATCTGATCTGACGCTTCTTGGTCGTGGGTAGAAGTGTGACTTGTAGTCCTCAGGCTGGCGACAGAGACCAGAGGATGGGTTTTTCATCCTGCTCAAAGCCCAGATGGCTCTCTGAATCAGCCTGCTTCAGATTGATTCACTCTGCTTCTGGCTCAGATCAGCATGGCCAGATTTGGCTTGGGGGCAAATCAAAGTGAATCGACTTGCTCACTTAGACCAAAGGCACAAAACGAACCAGGGCAGACATAAATAGCTTCGTTCCTGATAGGTGGTGCATTTTTTTTAATATAAAAAAAGCAAAATGTAAAGGGGTGTATCCTGCAAACTTTGGACATTTGACACATTTACTCCCCTCTGTGGGTTGTATAATAGTTATAATTATTATAATATAATAATTGTGTGAATTTCGTTGTATGGGGTATACTGTGTATATACTTACAATGACAATAAATTATATTATTATTATTAATAGGGATCACGGTGGTATCAAGTCAGTTCTGAAGTATGGCAAACCTTTCCAAGGTTCTCCAGGGAGAGAAGACTCAGAAGGGGGGGGTTTCCCCTTCCCTTCTTCTGGGGCCACCTTGAGATTCCGCAGCTTGCCCAAGGCCACCTGGTCTGGCTCGACTCATGGGTCCTAGATCAGCCCCCGAGGCTGTAAACCTCAATCAAAAATGCAACCACTGTTTTAGTTCTTGTATTAAAAACCAATGGGAAGATTTAGATCCAAGGCCAGGTCAAGGTGAACAGGGCACAGGCTGGCCCAGCTGATTCAGGAAATCCTGGCCAACCAATTCCAGATCCATCCCAAAGCTTGACTTGTGACTCCAAACCAACCCAGAGGGTCCCCGGGGAGAACTCTGGTGTCAACACCCTGCTTTTCTCCAGCTATTGAAGGGGATGTAGGCAGCAAGTCTACACCATCGGGCCATCGATCCAGCTTGCCCTCCATTGCGTACCGGGGTGGTGATGGTTCACCAAGATATCAGATCCGAGGTCTTTCTCAACAACTGATTTTTCCCCCTTTTCTTTTTTTCCTGGAGATACTTTGGGACTTTCCGCAGAGAAGGGATTTATTCTGCACTTGACTTACTCACAGAATGCTAATGCCTTTGATGGATTGATTTTGCAGCTTTTGAAATCCTTGAATTTTAATAGGGTTTTTGTGTGTGCAGCAGAATTGGGAAAAGTTGCTTTAAAAAAAAAATTGGACTACAACCCCCAGAATCCTTTTTCCTGCTGGCTCGCACCTTCAGGGATTTTCAGAAGTAAAAATTCCCTATTCTAGTATGGTTAAGAAATAGGACATTCCTGGAATACAGAGTTAGCAGGCTGGAATTTTCTATGACCTCCCAAGGCAGAATATTGTGATTTTTTTTCCTAACGATTACATTGGAAGTACGTGCGTGTGCTGGTTTTGTTTCCCATCTGCTTGAATTGACTATGTGTATGCAAACAGTATAGTACTGAGAAATGCTCTCATTATTTTATTTTATCCTGTCAAATTTTTCTTCCTTAGCCGACTTTCAAGAATGTCTTCCCAAGGTGACTTTATTGCAATAAAAGCACAATAGTTCAAACTTGAACTATAAAATCATGCATATATATATAAATATAATTTAAAATCACCTACTTACCAGACAATAAGATAATGGACTCGGCAATGTAGCCTTCCATTATGTGAGGAAGTATTTCTGTTTCTTAGTGCTGACCTTAAAACTGTTGTGGTGGGTGAACGAGCAAATTGAGGGGCCTGGAATAAATTGTAGGCATAGTGCCAAACGCCCTGAAGAGGTAAAAAGATGTCTTTTTGATTGTATCATGAACTTAACTCATGCTGCAAAATAGTTTTGTTTTGTTTTGTGACTGATTCTGGACATGTAAGCTTCGACTTCATTTGGGAGCCAGCCAGCTAAGGAATGGCACATGGAAGGAATGGCGTGCCTGGAGGGAAAATGTTGCAATAGCCTTTAAAGGGGATTTGACCCAAAAAAGCCAGAATGGGCAAAAATGCCACAGCAAGAGCAAAGCAGGTCATAGAGCTTCAAGAAACTGGGGGAGCAAAGAGGAAGAAAAGAGGAAGAAGAGAGGTGGGCTCTTAAACAGCTGGACTAAAAAGAGATGGCTGGGTAGCTGAGTAGTTTAGGTATCTGGCGGTAGAGTCTGAGGTTGGGAGTTCAATTCCACACTCTGCCTCTTAGGAGAAGAGCCATTGGGTGAGCTACACACTCCGAGGGCACCCCCATGAAGAATCGAATTATAAACCATTTCTGGGTGCATTCTATCTGGAAAACCCTGAAAAGGGTCAGAATTATAAGCATGATTATTATTTTTGAAGAGGGTCATGTTGCTGACCTGTATTTGGACTCCTATATTTTGCCCCAGTGCATATCTCCTCCAGCAGCTCATGTGAGCAAACCCAGGTGAGAATTTGTTAGCATGCAGAGTTGCAATGGTTTGTGTGTGTGTGTGAGAGAGAGAGAGAGAGAGCGAGAGCAGATTCGAAACTGTCACAGTGTGTGTGTGTGAGAGCGAGAGAGCGAGAGCAGATTCGTAACTGTCACAGCTGTACCAAGTCCAGAAACAGCCAGAAATGCCCACAAAATAGGCAAAACAAGTCTGGGAGGGCCAAAAAGAGCCATTTAGGATCCCTCTTTTCTTTTAGGGGAGAGTAGGACCTCTTGGAAGATCCCCCTAGCTTCCTTTATGCAAAAATACTAGAAAGACAGATTGCTGTTTTCTATATCTCCTTTTCCTACCAAGCAACGATTCAACAAGATGCCGCATCACCCTCCGATTTTGGCTGCCCGGATTTATGGCACAGCTCGGTAATTTCTACTACGGAAATGTATCCTAACCCTGCCAAAAAACGGTGCTCAACACAAATGTTCCTGGAGGCTCCGGCTTCCATTGGGAAAAAAAAAATCTGTATTATCTATTTGTGTCTTTAATTCTGCTCTTCTATAACTTGGGAAAGCTATGGAAGCTGTAAAGTGGGAGGGAGATATTTTTCTACGCGTGACGATAACCTATCAATTCAACGGCACACATTTTTAATATCAATGTTTGTTCAAACTGGAGTGGCCTCATTAATTAATCCCCCCCCCGCTTTTTGAAATTCCTGGGCCCCTTGTATTTTTAATTTTTATTTTTAAATTATTACTTGGCACAGTTAGCTTTTCTTCCTCTCTTTTCTCATGTAATGATTTCAGTTTTGATTTTTCTCGCTGCTTAGTCAGACTCATAATGCACAGCTGTGTTCAAAAAAAGAGGAAAAAAAACGCAGGCTCCTTTGATAATATCTCAGTTATGTATTATGAATGTTTTTAATGCTGGAAGACTGTGCAGTGTGAAGCCAATCCAATAATAATTAGAGAGGGAAAGAGAACCCCATCCGTCTCGTATTTTGGTATATCTTTTGCAGTGTTTGGTCCTTCCGCATTTCTAATGGAAAGACGGGCGTTACTCAGCCATTCTCAGCAACCTCAATGGTTTTTCCAGTCCATTAATTACATTTATAAGCTGCATTCTCCACCCACCAGTGGCATGAGCAATAAAATTATGGGAGGGGGG